CCTCCTTCCCCCTCTGTACCAGCCCTGCCTCTCCTGGATGTGGGATGTGATTTTGGGCTATTGCAGGGTTACCTCCAACAATAAATTTGCTTGTACCTATTTATATACTCTACACCTACGGTTGTACAGTGTAGACAGAGAAAGGAGCTGTGAGAGTAAGATGTCAGATAGCCCAAGAATACAAAACAGTGACAACAGCCAGGACATTCACCCATCTTAACAGACAAGAAAAGACTTTCATTAGAAAATTGTTACATCATTACCTCAGTGACTGCAGCCAGAACAGCACAAACCTGTAAAAAAATGGAGTTAAAAAATGTATCTTTGTCAGTGGCACACCTTGATTCCATTACTACATGTAACACTATGGACCTGACTCAGTACATGTACAGTATACATGTATTTGTGCTTGCCCTTTCAGAGTGAAACTCCAACACGTGACAGGGTGAAAATGACAGGTCAGGACAGGAGGAAAGATGTCGACTATCAATTTCTACACTTTACATAACCTGTAATGCTGAGGCTATGCTAAGCATCTCGGGTTTGATATTATTTTACCCTAAATTGACTGATACCAGCTTGCATCCATGCAAGCAAACAGACTTCAGGCTGGTGAATACAGCGTGCATTCCTTTGGGAATTAATCAGTGATTGGTGATTCAAAGAACCAGTAAGATCCTTTGAAGCACCATGATCCAAGTGATCTTGGATCATTGATACTGATCAGGATGTTCACAAAGAAACACAATAACTGTACACTGTAGCTCAAATCAATCTGATGGCTATGCACGGTCTGTGTTTAATCTACATGTAAATTTGCGGCACATTATAACCCGAAAAAGCCAACACATGAAAGCTTGCCGGTAGGCAAAATTCCAGCTTACAAATGTTACAGTGAATAAGTAAGTCCTAAGCTTGAGTGAACTGACCTCTTTGTGCTGCGAGGAAGGAGAATCCCAGAATCGTCTGACAGTAGCAAACACAGGATTAGAACAGTCCGTTAAACCACTCACACTGAAAGCGCCAAACGTTTGCCCGCTCTTTACACTCAATCCTTCCTCATCTTTAAGTTCAACGTCGCCTTCTTCGTCGTGTTTTTCTTCATGCCTAGCCAGAGCATCGACAGTCAAATTAGAGTTCCGAGTAGCATGTCCTACAATGGCACCCCTCTTCGCCGCGTCTCTGTGCGTCCTTGTTGCCGGATTCGACTCGCAACTTTGGCCCTTTCGCCAACGTTTGTTTTTACCTTGTCGTAAACGTACCATGATGGGAGATTAAACTCCTTAAAACATCATTATTCTGTGTGTTTCTCGACAATGTTGTCGATTTGCGAAATCCTCGTGGCTTTACTTATCGAGCCCGCGGTATTCTGTTCCGATGAACAGCAGTAATTAGAAATGTAAATAGGGTGAGTACGTGGTGTATGGGGAAATATATTGTACCGATATATTGTGCCACTCCAAGCGTGCTTTGCTTACTTCAGGTGCTTAACCTACTTGAAGTGCTTTGCCTACTTAAGGCGCTTTGCTTATTTGAGGTGCTTTCCGCCGCTCTCTAGGCTCCGGTCCCCGAGCGTCCTTCTCCTTTCCCGGACAGCGGCTAGAAATGCTACCTGTTTCGCACCCAATCGATAGTTTGCACCCCTGAACTCATTGGTAATTCATTCACCTTCAATGCATTGAAGAACGAGAAATAAACATGTCTTGCGTGATTTTGTTTCATTATGCCCACAATTTTGTCTTTTTTGCTCGGTAAGAGAAAGATAAGTTTTAAGCACTTGATAGCTAGTATGAAGGTGCGAACTCGGTGGGCGCAAATTCGCTTGGGCGGGTACGAAACCTCCAGCTACCGCGGCTGGTAATTGAGCCTACTTCTATTGCCCTCAGTGGGGAAAAGCCCTCTGAAACGAGGTTGTGAACTCTTCGAACGTTTGCAGAATTAAACTGACGTTTGTGAGCTTGGATGAAATTCGATTAAATAAATCGGGCTTTTTGCAGTAAAGCCCGGGGCGCATTATTCACGTACGAGGACGAACAAATTTCTCCCATCTCGCGAGTAGACCCCGTGCATATATCGCGCGGCGTTCCGCGCTCTACCTTGGAAAAATGATCCACTGAC